CCCCCCACCCGGTGTTTGCCCCAAACGTGGAGCTGAGGCCCCCCAAAAATCTCTCTCTTTCTCCTCTTTTTAGACAGCCTGATGTTTCAACTGCAGGAGCCAAGTAAGTCCATGGGGACGGGTGGGAGATAAAAAAAATACATCAAAATGGGGGTTTTGGGGGGCTTTGTGGTGGTGGTGGTTCCTCACAGGAAAAGTTAAAAAAAAAAAAACCAAAACCCCAAAACAACACAAATTTGCCCCAGGAAGGGAAGGGTGGCAGCATCCTTGGGGGTGAAGCTTCTGGTGTCACCAGGGTATGGTCCTAAGGAAGGCCCAAGTCCCTCTGGGCCCCAAGGAAAAGGGGGTGGAAACACCCAAGAAGAGCTTTTTTTTTTTGTCCTCTCCCCCTTCTCCTTCCACCCCAAAAAGGGGCGTCTCCGCTGGAGGACCCCACGAAGCAGCCAGGAGTGGGAGGAGGAAGGAGGAGAAACATCTCCAGCGTCTTCCTGCTCCACCCCACGCTCTGGTTTCTCCTTTCTCCTGCAGCCGAGGTGACCTTGGACCCTTCCACGGCTCACCCCAACCTTCTCCTCTCCGAGGATGGAAGACAAGCCAAGGGTCAACTGAGACAACAGGACCTTCCGGCCAACCCGGAGAGATTCGACTTCGAACCTTGCGTCTTGGGGCGTGAAGGTTTCACCTCGGGGAGACATTTCTGGGAGGTGGAGGTGGGACCTGGGGGCGTCTGGGCCTTGGGGGTGGCCCGAGCTTCCCTCAAGAGGAAAGGAGCCTTGAGCTTCACCCCCAAAGAAGGGGTCTGGGGGTTGGAGGCCTATCACTCCCTCACCTCCCCCCGGGCCAACCTGCGCTTGAACCCCCTTCCCAGGAGGATCCGGGTCTCCTTGGACTACGAAGGTGGGAGGGTGGCCTTCTTCAGCCCGGATGACGACGTCCCCATCTTGGTTTACTCCCGAGCTTCCTTCAACGGGGAGAGGGTCTTCCCCTGGTTCAAGATGGGGATGGGGGCTCGTTTGCAAGAAATCACCCAAAGCCCACCCTCGGAGGACCAGTCCATGGTTGGGCAACTCATGTCTCCTCTGGATTGGGTGGGGTTCAGGTTTCCCCTTCGGATCTGCTCTGGGGAGGTCCGTCCATGAAAGGGACATCTCCTGGGTGCTCCAAAAGATGGTGCCCAAGGAACTCGTGGCTCTTCCCATCTCCGTTTGGGGAGACAACACCCGCGTGGTGAGGACGTGGAGATGGGCCACCAGCAGATACCCACCAAGGGGAAGAACCAGCCAGGACGAGGTGATGGAGTCAACCCAGCAGAAGGAAGGGGACGTCGAAGGGTTGAGCGAGCGCTCAGGACTTTCAGAAGTTTCTTTCCCAAAATTTAGTTTCGCCTTTAAGGGGCCAAATCCTCCCTTTTCTCTCTCTTTTTTCCAAGGGTTTTCCTTCTGACGCCCGTTGCGAGGCAGATCTGGAGCTTGTCCTACCAAGGAAGAGGTGGCTTGGTTTGGGGGACCTTCTCTCTTGTCTCTGTCTCCATTTCTCCTCTTTCTTTGAATCAAAAGAACATTTTTGGGGTCACTCTCTCCGTTTTCTGCCTCGTTTTATCCTGGATTTCTTCGTTTTTTGGGCTCTGGGAAAGCTGGCCAAGATGATGGGGGAACACCTGGCTTCCCTTTCCACCTTCTCCTGGTGGACCTCCTAGGAGGTGTCCCCTATTGGAGGGAGGGAGGGAAGGGAACCAAACTCCCCCAAAATAGAGTTTTTCCACCCCATTATACACGTCCAACTTCCTGGGTAACTCCCCTTGGCTCTTCAGGAGGGACAAGGACAACCCATCCCACCAGGGCCTCCTTGGGGAGATGTTTCCTCAACCCCAAAAAGCAGCTGGAGTTGGGGGGCGAGGGGTGTGTAAAGACACAAATTTGGGCATTTTCACCTCCGTTCACTCAAAAACTTGATGGTTTTGGGGTTTTTTTTCTCTTGAGGGAAGCCCAAAAAGAGGAAGAGGCACCACCCAAGCGAAGGTGGGTGATGGGTTGGAGAACGTAGACGAGGAACCGGAAGGAAGAGTGGGAGGGGGGAGAGCTCAGAATAACCCCACCCCCCCACCTCGGATGATATTTTGGGGCCGTTTGTGGCGTTACGACGTCTCCCCTTCATCCCTGCTCCTCATCCTCGTCGCTTGGCCCCATCCCTTGGGGAAAAAGTGGGGAAAAGACCAAAAAAAATCACTGGGAGGGGGGTTAAAACCAGCTTTTTTTTTAAATTTTTTGCCTACAAGACCCTTCCCCTTCTTGGGGGGCTTCCACCTTGTGACCCTTCCCTCTGCCCCCCAACTTCTGACAGCCCTCGGGGGACAACCACGTGTGTGTGTCCCCCCCCAGTGTCCCCCAAGACCACAAAAAAATGGGGAAGGTTGGGTTTTTGTGCTTCCTTTTTCCCCAGGAAACCGGGGGATCGATGGGTAGAAAGAGGAGGGGAAAAAATGAGGCAAAAAGAGAAGACCCCAAGGCACTGAAATTGGGTGGAAAAGGGGAAAAACTCGGTGTGAGGGTGATGGAAAAGTGAAGCAAAAAGAGAGGACCCCAGGGCACTGAAATTGGGTGGAAAAGGGGAAAAATTCAGTGTGAGGGTGACAGAAAAGTGAATTTTCCCCGGGTTGGACCTCATTAAGTAAAGATGTCCCCGTCCGAGCCCGTCACCAAAATTTCCCTTATTTTCCTTCTTTTTTTTTAATACGGAAATCTTTGCCGGATGGAAATTTCCCACCTGGAAAAACTTCATTTTTGTTGCTTTTCTTCTTCTAAAAATCGATAGTTTGAACCTCCGCGACGTAGAACGTTAATAATAATAATAATAATAATAATAATAATAAATAAATAAAAACCCACTTGTTTTTTCTCCTCCTCCGTGTGTGTCTTCCCTCGGGGGAGGAGGAGGGACACGTGGAAAGACCAGGAATGGGCTTAATTAATTAATTAAAAATTCCAGCCCCCTTGAAACCCGACATCCAAAAAAAAGCAGCGAAAAGAACCCGAGAAGAACGTTAAAGGGTGTAAATCTCTTTTTTTTTTGTAATTTCATCTTCGATAAGAAGATGGAAAGACGGGACGAGGGGTGGAGTTGGTGGAGCTCAAGGTGGCTCCATGGGGCAACCCAAGGCCCCACTTTGGGGGTGACCACGTTTTTTTTGGGGTGGGAAGAGGCCAGAAAGGTCAAGAAGGACTTTGAGCAGAGAGAAGTCCTTCAAAAGATTGGAGATTTGGGGTCTTTTGGGGGGGGAGGGATGGGGAAACGTGAGTTTGGGTAAGAAGGGAGAACTTCAGGGGCACAAGGTCATCTGGGAGCCCTCGCCCCACACCAGGAACCAAGGGTGGACCTTCTCCCCTTCGAAGGAGGCTGCTGGGAAGGTGAATATCAAGGCCTTCTTCTCGGCGTCGAAAAAGGCCACCTGGCCCTTCTCGTAGTCCAAGGCCACCCGGAGCTTTTTGGGGACATGGATGTGGTACAAGGGGACACGTTCCAAGGAGGTGAGAGCCCAAAACTGTCCCTCGCAGAGACCCATAGACCAGAGTTCCACCTCGGGGCCGGTGGAGGTCTCTTCTTTCTTCTTCAGGGACTCCTTGGCCACCCCCAAGGCCCAGGAACCTTTGGGTGTCACCTCCACCTCCCAGCAGCACCTCCCCGAGGTGATGCCTTGGTAGCCCAACACGTAGGGATCGGTGCCGGGCCCTTCGTCCGATGGGGGGTCCTGTTGGGTGTCTTCTTCTTCCCACCTCACGCTCCTCCCGTCCTCCGACACCACCAGCTGGGGGTGAGCGGTGGAAGGGTCCAAGGTGACCTTCGCTGGGAGGGACAGAGATTAGGAGCCTCCAAGGAGACCCAAACCATTTCCCCAAGCCCCGGGGTGAGCGGGGAGGTCCTCAAGGACCACCTCGACCCATGGTTTGGGATGTTCTGCCCTCGCTTCGCTTCCCTCCAACCCCACAGAGGCCAGAAGAAGAGGCCCAAGGGAGGAAGAGGACAAGCCCCAGGTGAGCAGGGAGGTCCTCAAGGACCACCTCGCCCCATGGTTTGGGATGTTCTGCCCTCGCTTCGCTTCCCTCCAACCCCACAGAGGCCAGAAGAAGAGGCCCAAGGGAGGAAGAGGACAAGCCCCAGGTGAGCAGGGAGGTCCTCAAGGACCACCTCGCCCCATGGTTTGGGATGTTCTGCCCTCGCTTCGCTTCCCTCCAACCCCACAGAGGCCAGAAGAAGAGGCCCAAGGGAGGAAGAGGACAAGCCCCAGGTGAGCAGGGAGGTCCTCAAGGACCACCCCAACCCTCGGTTTGGGATGTTCTACCCTCGCTTCGCTTCCCTCCAACCCCACAGAGGCCAGAAGAAGAGCCCCAAGGGAGGAAGAGGACAATCCCCAGGGCAGGGGAGGAAGAGGACAATCCCCAGGGCAGGGGAGGAAGAGGACAATCCCCAGGGCAGGGGAGGAAGAGGACAAGCCCCAGGTGAGCAGGGAGGTCCTCAAGGACCACCCCAACCCTCGGTTTGGGATGTTCTACCCTCGCTTCGCTTCCCTCCAACCCCACAGAGGCCAGAAGAAGAGCCCCAAGGGAGGAAGAGGACAATCCCCAGGGCAGGGGAGGAAGAGGACAAGCCCCAGGTGAGCAGGGAGGTCCTCAAGGACCACCCCAACCCACGGTTTGGGATGTTCTGCCCTCGCTTCGCTTCCCCCCAACCCCACAGAGGCCAGAAGAAGAGGCCCAAGGGAGGAAGAGGACAATCCCCAGGGCAGGGGAGGAAGAGGACAAGCCCCAGGTGAGCAGGGAGGTCCTCAAGGACCATCTTGACCCATGGTTTGGGATGTTCTGCCCTCGCTTCGCTTCCCTCCAACCCCACAGAGGCCAGAAGAAGAGGCCCAAGGGAGGAAGAGGACAATCCCCAAGGCAGGGGAGGAAGAGGACAATCCCCAGGGCAGGGGAGGAAGAGGACAACCCCCAGGTGAGCAGGGAGGTCCTCAAGGACCACCTCGACCCACGGTTTGGGATGTTCTGCCCTCACTTTGCTTCCCTCCAACCCCACAGAGGCCAGAAGAAGAGCCCCAAGGGAGGAAGAGGACAATCCCCAGGGCAGGGGAGGAAGAGGACAACCCCCAGGTGAGCAGGGAGGTCCTCAAGGACCATCTTGACCCATGGTTTGGGATGTTCTGCCCTCAATTCGCTTCCCCCCAACCCCACAGAGGCCAGAAGAAGAGCCCCAAGGGAGGAAGAGGACAATCCCCAGGGCAGGGGAGGAAGAGGACAAGCCCCAGGGCAGGTGAAGAGGAGAACCCTCCCATTTCTCAACAGCGTCTTCCCCAGATGACCTCCCAAAACTCATCCCACCTGGGCCTCAGCCCTTCCCTCCATCACCTCCAGGAGAGGTGGACTTACTCTTTTCGGGCAGCTCAAACATCAGGGCGTCTGGAGAGGGGGAGGAGAAGAAGAGACACGTTATCGAGCAGAAGGTGGAGGTTGGGAAGGTGTGAAGGGTGAGGTTCTGCCCCTTCTTCTGAGACCACCTCCATCATCACCCCCCAAAAAATCTATAACTTAGCCTCTAAATAAAGAAATATAATTCGTGCTCACGGGGGGTATGGGTCCATCCTCCCATCCCACCCCACGGCCAAGACCTTGGAAGGTCCTCAGGGTCTCCTCTCGAGGGGGAACCTCACCTTGGAAGGTCCTCAGGGTCTCCTCCAGAGGGGCGTTTTTCTCCCTGAAGCGAGCGATTTTCTCTTCCAGTTCGGGGAGAAGCAACTGGGGCTGCTGGAAATGTTCCTTTTCAAACCTGGAGGAGGAGGAGGAGGAAGGAGGAAGGAGGAAGGAGGAAGGAGGAAGGAGGGATGGAAGAGGGTGAGGACAAATCTCCTCAGAGAGACCTAGAAGAGCCCAGAAGACCGGGGGGTGCGCCCATGGCTTGGAGAAGCTGGAGCCAACTTCAACGACCTCCACGATGGGTGGAGACACCTTCGCTCAGAGCCAATGGGTGAGGCCAAACCACAAGGTCCAACCCCCCCCTTTCCCCATCCTAAGGGGGGGGTTGAGAAGCTCAGGAGGCCTCCTACCTGCTCAAGGTACCTCTGATGTCCTGGAGGGAAGAGAGGGAAGAGGGAGACTTAGTCAAGGGGGGCAGGTCTTGGTAGTAGAACATCTACTGAAGCTTCAACGGGGCCTTTGGAGAAGGGTTTGGCCAAAAAGTAGCCCATGACCACACTGGGGGGGTGGTGGCCCTCCACCATCATCTCCATTCCCTTCCCTTCTCACCACCAGGAACTCGTTGGCCGGTCGTTGACATTTCTCCTCCATCTCTTGGATGAAGGCGTCCAAACGGGAGATCTCCTGGGTCAGGTGGGTGAGGTTGTCCTCCTGTGTCTTCTCCACCTCCATCTCCAGGTCCTTCAGCTGAAGCAGGAGGCCACGGGCGTGGGCCTCCAAGAAGAACCGCAACCCTTCCAGTTGAGAGAGGACCCTCCGCCGTTCGGCTTCGGTCTTCTCCTGCCGGGAGGAAGGTTTTTTGGGGGAAGGGAAGGGGGGGGATGGACACGAGAAGGGAAGAAGAGGGGGGAGGAGGAGACAAATCCCCCCCAAATCACCCCAAAATCACCCCAAGTCCCCCTGAAATCTACCCCAAAACCCCCAATCCCCCCCAATCACCCCCAAATCCCCCTGAAATCTACCCTAACCCCCCAAATCACCCCAAA